TTCTGCTCGAAAACATTTTTGCTCAGCATTTCAAAGACTTCAGATACTCCATCCACCACATGGTGGTGGTAGTGGTAACAAGAGGAAAAAGGCACATAATTTCTGCAGGCCGGTCGGGAGCACGGCGCAGTACCTAGCGCATGGCACACGAATATACGCGCTCGTTCTACGCACTGTTTAGGCCCCGGGGCTAACAACATGTGTTTTGTAAACGTTACTAGGAGACAATGACCACCGGCATAACACTGCGCAGCTAACAACGTGGCACAAAATACGGATATTCGTCGCCACGGTCCATACGAGTCCGACGATCGCGCCACCAGAGAACACTTACCACTTTGGCACCACCACAGCAACGTAACCCATTGTGTAACCCTGTAACTATAGCAACATGTGCCTTGTAGATATGGCCGCCATGGCATCACTTTCTTCACACTTTTTCCCGGCTGGAGATGCCAAGTCCTCTCATTCCTTCGCCCGTGGTCCTTAGAAATACTAGAATATCATGGATAGAATATGCTGCCATTGTCATTTCATTCTTGCTCTGGTAATTACTTACAGAACGGATAAAACGAACAAGGACGTTTTCAAACATATTAGACACGTGCGAACAGGATTTGACGTTCAGTTGTAATACTTTAACAAAAGATTCCACAAGCATTCGATATCGCGGCCGATATTGCGTTTAGAGCAAGTGGTTAACGATTTAGAGTACCTGGTACTCTACTATGAAAGAGCATAAAGCCATCCTTTGGGCCTCACACTTGATGAGGCCGTGTTGACAAAAATTACGCCGTGAACGACTTCACGACGATGAGCGGCCGATATTGGGCATGTGAATCGTAGTGCGTTGTCGTCTGCGCTTTATGATGACACGTGCTTACATTTCTACTTTACACGACCTCACTAACCCCACAAGCATCTCCGGAGTTGATAACGTTTTAAGAGTAGTGTAGTGATATCTATGGCAGCATCCTTGCGTGTCAGGGAAGTTTTTGCTAAAAAAATCTGTGCCAACTTGATGACCCAGCTGGGCATTTGTGATCTCCGACATGATGATCAATGAACCAATCGTATGTTTACTAGAAAGTGAAGGCCCCTCTAATGGTCTCCAACGGTCTTGCACGAGTACACGTGACAGACCCTACAAATGACTGTCTTCTTCCCATATTTCAATTGATATTCTTTACTTTTAGGTACGGTATTTTCGTGAGCTACCAAGACAAGCATGTTCCCAAGTGTTCTTTTTCGTGAGACACCCCATGCTTTCACCATGTGTTGAAACATGCCCGGGCAACAAACTATATCATACAATCAATGTACAGGTTTTAGTCATTCTGGAGATCGGCACCGCCATGTAGTTCGAATCCTAATGCCAAATTCCTTCCAAAAATAACCCATATATTAATATTGGTGAAGCGTCATCTCAAATGACAACTTCAGCTGAAATTGTGTACACAGCAACCCCTTGACAACTACAGCCCACTAGGTGAAGTGTTATCGAGACCCCCTGCTGTTGAAGTGTTATCGAGACCCCCTGCTGTTGATCATGTCGCGCGCAGGTGTTGTTTTCTCATTACCATCGGTCAGGTTAATTGAGTCTAGCTAAACCTTCAAATTCACACAGGATGACAGCAGCAACATGACTGGATGCTTCGTACAAATTTATTATTTTTTTACAGCTGGAACATTGATGGTTGAAAATGGAAAAGAGGGTGGAAGGCAACAAAGGTAAAATGCTACATTACCCGAAATGCGAAATATACATAGTGTGTAAGAAAAATAAACATGCACATAAAATATCAAACAACAAAACGAGAATCTCTGCCAAAAAACAGAAAGGAGACAACAATCACGACAGTGATATGATCGCTATAAATACAGATGGTGTCCAAGAGCGAAAACACAAGAAAAAAAAATGCAGTACGATAAACAAGGGTCTTCGTTTTATGTACAAAATTGACACAGGCAGCCTTTGAGCTAAGTTCCTTTACACACCTGTACACACTGACCATTCTTCGCGTGCTCAGTGCAACGTTAACACCGTAACCGCTGTTGAGCATTTACCAAAAGGCAAAGCTATACCAGGCTCTGTCCTAGCTTGGAAAAAATTGCATACACCTTGTCATGCTCAGTACTATATGCAATAAAAAAAATCTGTAGCATCATTTAACAACTGGGTAGGTGGCTCAATAGATGCTACTGACATTCTATTTACTTCAGCCGGTTTCAAACTAGTCATTAAATTAAAAGGCTAAGTGTTAATCATCTCTTTCTTGTTGTAATGAATTCTAACACTTAAAACATACTAGCAATGACAGTAGTATCAGCGTCACAGTAGATGTATTAGTAGTAGATTGTGGAAGCACAAATAACTACCAATTCTCGCAACAAAAGTAGGATGCCTGAAATACAATTAAGCACAATTCAAACAGTTCACTGGAAAAGAAGTTCTTTAACATTTATGTACAGTGCTGAAGTGCTAGCTCTTTTTTTAACCATTCTACTACATAACCTACCAATATGGCAGAAGCATCAGTTGAACCTTATGTATTAGGCCCAACACTCGGGCATCCTGAACTGCAGACTTTCCAGCTGGGAGAGCAACACTTCACCCATAACACACACGTGCACCGTTATGCTGTCTTAAATACGTGCATTGTAAATTTACTCACGTCTAACAAAAGTTTCACCACACACTGCATTCACACTGTATATTAGAGTGCAAGCATATCAGATGCATAGCATAATGATTTCTCCAGTGCATTTGCATATCAAGAGAATTACAAGCAACTAGCTACTACATCTCAACTATTCTACCATGCCTGCTACACTTTCATCCACAAAAGCTGACGAAACGCCATTGGGAAGAGCATAGCTCGCAGCATGCAGGCCTTCTACGACGCTAATATATTTGACTTTTCATGCTGCAGTGGGCCTTTGTAGTAAAACAGTTTTTTTGGTGAACATAAACATGGATGAATCGGGGCTGGAAGTGTCGCCTCTGGGCAAAGCTGTTCATACACGATTGAAAATACCACATGCAAATTAAAACAGCCTTCACAGCCGAAATGACAACTCTGGAATTTTATACACAGATATGCACACTGCCTATGATTCCACAAGAAGCGTCTCAACAACAGGCAGTACCACATTGCTTTGCTTATGAATGCATGGCTCCTCGTAGAACGTGTACATAACTGACGATGTTTGGAACAAAAACTGTGCTCCTGCTCTTGGCATGAAGGTGTTAAACTTTAGCAACACTAATAATTACTAGGATATATATTTCAGTTGAACATATTAGCTGCAGCAGACCTTTAATTTTTTACACTATTAAAGTTCCGTGTATTTATAGAGATTTATGCATAGACGAATCTTACTGATGCAAAAGGCACCCCAGTGAATACGATTTCTGGACAGCAGTGCTACCTCAGCACGTGTGTACTGTCACGAAGATTTCTTGCAAAAGGCAACACACAATGGAACTATTATAACAGTAACATAAACCTATGAAAAAAATATAACTTGTGTAGAAAAACGTGTTTTTCAGTACGGGTATTACAATTTCATACCCACTTTTTCAACATTTCATTTATCAAATGCAGCTTCAATTCAATGGTTTAAATATTCCCCAAATGCCAAACTGCAGTGCAACTAAATTATTTCATCAATGATGTTTACATTAAAAAATGGCATCTTTTTTCATTAATTCCTGTTCATTGCTTGTATTAGTTGCCACAAATAGAATGCCTTAAGGTACAAGACTCAGCAAAATGAGCAGCAAGTTCCGAGAACCAAAAATAAAAATATCCGCAGTCATTTGAAAATACTAAAGGCTAAAAACATGTTCTCATGAGCGAATTACTTATCTTAGCAGGCACAGAGGAAGGGTCTCATTTGGCAGGTATGCCGCTTGCAGTGAACTGCTTCTTCTGATTCCACAGAATCTCACTTTTTGGGGCCTTCCACGAAACCAGCAGAGGATGCAGGAAATGCTCTGGTTGATGTCGGCAAAGACAAATAAGTGGCAAAAGCTCGGCACGCAGGCAAATGGCTCTTCCGGCAAGTGTTCTTATGGTATGTACAGTAATGAAGGACCTCTTCGCTAGAATGCAGACGAGGGCACTATATAAAACAGACTGCTTACTTATTTCACTAATACAATGGACAAGAAACAAAGTTAAAAGAAATGCCCCCAGTCACACAGCGTTCCAATGTCGTTCAGCAGCACTGCGGACACGGAGCGTAAAGAAAACACAGCGCTGTGACGTGACCATTGCATCTGGCAGAGAGCCGCTACGTGACTTCACCCATCGGGCATAAAGGGCCGTGCCATTCCCCAACGAAGCCATCACTGTCTCTTTAGCAACACTTCTCAGCAACTCCTGCAAAGGGAACTTGCTTGAGATGTCGCCCTGCTTTGTTAGCAGCTCTTAGTAGCCCGTCAGATAAGTTCATCAATGCTCCTGTCCAACTTGTAAGGAGAGGAATTGTTTTTAATTTACTCCATCGAACCAGGTCCTGAGCGACTTATGAGTGACAGCTCTGTCGAGGAACAGCCCTTAGCAGCCCGCACACATTTACAAAATAATACTGCAGGAGCAGCTAAGGAGTGCTACACAAGCGCCGCGAATACTTCAACTGAAGCATGGCACAACCCTTCAACTGGTAGAACTTAGGAAGAGCATTAGGAGAAGGCAGATCTGTTGCAACACATGTCGATACTAATGCTGTGATGCAACATAGCGGGTGCTTCACAGGAGATGCACAATTACACACCATACCATTATACAAGGATACGTAACCACAGCACGCTCATAGCAGCAGTCAACAGTGCCTTAAAATTAAGACTGGGTTGCAGTATCAACCACTATTTTGGAGTGTCTACAGCATTCGCTGAAACGCAGCAGCTTCAGAACGATCGACACAAGTCTTACAGTTCAGCCCAATTGTGCTACTATCTTGGTGGAGCTGAATTCCAACAGTGTTTCACCCCGACAGTGCTTATTATGAAACCTAATGTGGCCTGAATGATGAGGCTCTATACAGGATGACGTAAATCACTGGATGTGTCGCGTATCTGAGTGGCAGACTGATACAATGTAGGGCACAGGTTAAAAAGAAAAAAAGATTTAAGTCCACAACGACTTCCCATGCAAAATTTGAAGATCCCACAGGTGGCGTCCTCCCTGTTCTTCCATGCTGCTCCAGGAACACCTGTGATGGCTTGGCGATGCTAACCCTGCATCCGACTCCTATCCGCACTGTCAGCCGAGAACTGGCAGAACTGCTATCACTGGCACACCACACAAACAGGTTTCTCGGATGTGGCAATGGTAACACACACTTCCCAAATGAGAAAATCACCATTTCTTTCTTTTCTCTTTGCAGCAGTCATGGCAAACAGGCAGTACCACCACAATGCGAAAGATCGTGACTACCAAAGGAAGGAAGGCTGCAGAGGGCATCGGTCGAAGTTCCACGATGGGGGCCTCTCCTGGTGGCGTTACAGTTTCTCAGTTTATGATACAACAGGCCTGACAAATGTGAGTCAGCGATGCCTAGGTCTGCTGATTGACAGTCAACCATTTGGCAGCAGACCATCACTGGTGGTCATGTCCAACTGTTCTTTGAACTCTGTGAAGAGCCGTTGTAGACGCAAGTTGGAGGCCAAAAATGGCAACACCTCTTGCAGCAGCCCGCGTTTGTCCAAGCCCTGTGAGAAGCATAGTTTGCCCTGTAGTAACTTGCTGCTAAAGTCCCTGGATGAGAATTCCTAATATACAGCTAAACATTTCTTCATCATTACTGCTATTCTCATTTGATGTGCTATTCCCACTTGCCGGAGCCTTCGACCATTAAAAGACTGGATTTTCTACGCGACTCAGCTAACTTGGGGCTGAACTAATTGCATTTCAATCCATAAAATTCTGAAAAAAAAAAAATGCAATACAGAATCCTGCTCATCTTTAACGACTAAGCTAGTTGAACTCAGAATGACGAACATGAGACATAAATGACTACCAGGTCAACCTTGAAGAAGCAAAGCAACCCATTCAATCCCGCAATAACGAATTCGTGCTATGACAACATTCTCGCAACAACAACATATTTTGCTGTCCCTATAGAATTCGATTCCTCTCACATATCCCAACCAAATGTTGCGGACTTCTAAACCAGCAGCAAAAAAAATTTAAAGGTTGTTTATCTGCTCACAAAAGGTCAGCATACTCGTCAATGAGTTCAAACTTCCCTGCTTCCTACTAAAACTGCATGAAGTACCATATAAACCGGAATGTATGTCGAGATATTTTCAATAAAATAATAAGCTAAAGTCGCCCCTTGTCTTATATAGCGGTGTCTAGCTGAAAGAACGCCGCTGTCTGGCAACATGTTGCTAGCATGTGCTTGAGAAACCGGACGTGGCCATATCCGCATCCAAATCCAATTGCGAGCAGTTTTTTTTTCTCTGTCTGTTTTTTTTTGTGTTCGTGATTTGTTTCCGATCTATTCTGAGTTTTCGCTCCGCTTGACATTGCGCTACATTTTTAGTGGTCTTTTTTTTTTTTTTTCGTTCACTGAATATGAGTAGCGGTACGAGGAGGCAGTACTCTGCTGTGTGTTAAACAAGATGTTGTTAAGTTTGCAGAAGCGAATGTGAATATGGCAGCTCAGCGCCGCTTTGGTGTATCGGAAAAAGCGTGCGCTATTGGAGGGTGCAGAAAGGGAAGCTGCAGATGTGCAATCCTCGAAAAATGTCGTTTCGTGGACGAAAGGCCGTTTATTCGCAGCTGAAGGATAAACTAGTAGACTTTGTGCGGGAAGTTCGTGCGCGCTCGCTGCCAGTGACCTTGGATACCATTCGCAAGAAATCCGTGGAACTCGCTCGAGAAGCTGGGCTCATGAGAGAAGAGTTTCGTGCACCAAACTTTTGGGTGCGTCGATTCATGCGATGCAAAGAATTTTCTCTCAGGCGGCGCACATACATCCGTCAAAAGTTCCCGGAGAAGTTCGAGGACAAGCTTATAAACTTTCAGCGCTTCGTGAACCAGTTTTGGGAGCAGAACGACTACATGATGGGACAGCTTGGCAATGCCGATGAGACCCCCATGTGGTTTGACATGCCTTCGTCGACCACGATCACGCAGCGCGGCGCCAAGGATGTGAAGCTGTTGTCCACTGGCAACTAGCACTCGCGCTTCACCGTCATGCTGGCATGCACGGCAGATGATAGAAAGCTTCCGCCCTTCATCATTTTCAAACGCAAGACAATGCCGAAGGAAGTTTTCCGCCCGGTGTTGTTGTTCGCGTCAACAAAAAGGGATACATAGATGAGGTCATGATGCTCGAATGGATAAGAGTAGTGTGGAACCGTCAACCAGGTGCACTGCTGCGTCTTCGCAGCATGCTGGTGTTGGATGCATTTCGTGGTCACTTATCCGAGGCTGTGAAACGCGCACTCGGCGACGGGAAAACGGGCCTCACCGTGATACAGGTGGTATGACGTCCACCCTCCAGCCGCTCGATGTTGTGCTAAACAAGCCGTTCAAGGAGCGAGTGCGGCTGGAGTACCGAGAGTGGATGTCCGGTGACAACCCCAAAACACCGATGGGCCGCTTACAGAGGCCTCCGCTTGCGACTGTTTGTGGCTGGGTGCTTTCCGCCTGGCGTTCCTTGCCAAATTCTATGGTGGAAAAGGCTTTCAAGAAATGTTGCATCAGCAACTCGCTGGATGGCACGAAAGACGACGCACTGTGGGAGGTGGCCAGAGACAAACTCTCGTCTTCAGAAGACAGTGGTGCTTCGTCAGACGAATAGGAGCAGTTGCGATGGTAGTTGAGTGGAGCTCTGACGGTCCGGTGCGCCCAATTTGCAAATAAATGTGGTTGGGCAGTTTTGGTTTATTTTCCTTTTTTTTTTTCGTAACGTGAACTTGGGGGGTCGACCTATATTACCACTCGACCTATAGTCCGGTTTATATGGTACAACCTCTTAGTTTAAATGACAGGTCCAGCTCCAAAAGTAATCACACACCTCCGAATGTAAGGAATACACCATGTGACTTCACAATAGAAGACAACTTGCTGCATTGCAAAAGAAGACATTTGCGTCTGCTAACATGGCAAGGGTTGACAAGGCAAGATAAATGACTTTTGGCATTCAAATATTGTTCTGAACGTTTTCCCATGTTCTACTAGTGCATAATGAAATTTTTATTCTCCACGCTGATCATGTTACTACAGGGTGGCAATGTATGATCAGCTACATACTAATAAAACAACACTAAACAATGAACACTTACACCATTTCGTTTGATTAATATTGCTTGTGGCCTTACTAGAGGCTTGGCTATGAGAAAAGTGTCCAGATAAGACCTGGCAAGGCTTGACTGTCTGTGACAAGACATAGCACACTGTTTGCATACCAGTATAGTTGGTTCCCATGACTGCGAGTTGCCACCCACAGGACCAAGAAATTGCGTGCAGAGATCTTTTAGTCGGGTTTCCAAACCTGGAACAAGGAAGAGAGTTACATCAGAAAAAACACGCCACAGCTCCCAAACTGCAAATGAAAAACCGTCATAAAATAGCAACTGTATAAGGAAATTACATGAATGAAGAATCCAGTATCTAAAGCAAATGACGCCACCAGAATTCACCTTCTGTTATTTTTCAATGTTACCATTCTGGGAGCACTGAAATGAGATTCCCAAAGTGTGCAGTGATGCAACTTGCTATCAATACAGTCGACGTTCAATTTCCTGGACCCTCAAGGGACCGTGAAAACGTCCGGAAAATCGGGCAGTCCGAAAAAACGAATGCACATAAAAACGCACCTTCTTTGTAGGTACTTTTCACTGACAGAGAGGATAACGGCCGGAGTACAAGATTCCCATAGCGATTCAGCCAATGCATCGTTTAAGTGGCTCTGACAAGAGCCGTTAAAAAAAATAACGACGTGGCCAGCGCAACCTCATAGGTCAGCACTTGGGCGCAAAGAAGTCACCTATTTTCTTTTGCAAGGCGTTCCCCTTGCTCGCGATCATGTCTGCCTCAATTTCAGTCAACGTCATGTTGCTGCTGTACACCGATGACAGTGTCATCTGTGCTCGCGTCAACTCCGAGCTCATTGGCTGTGTATGAGATGGCTCTTAGTTCTCGGTGTCGGAGTCACCGGAATCCACCGTAACTTGACGAATGATTTCGTCATCGGTCAAGTCCGCCCATAGCTCGAGGTCTTTGTCAGCGTCGGCGCAGCCCTCAAAAGTTATTCAGGCTGGAATCAACACGACAGCAGCGCGCAGATCGTCGAAGGCAACATGCGCGGATGGCAGTTTGTCACACTGTCCACTTGGGGCGAGATGGCCGTCTCGGCGTCAAGTGTGAAGCCCGTGTGGCGAAAACAGTTTTGCAGAGACTCTTGCATAATTGCCTTCCACAATTCTGCCAGCATACCTATGGCAGACCTGAGGTCATAGCATAGCTTTTCCCATCGTAAGCCTACAAGGGGGCTTTGTGCGCTTCTAAGGTGCGGACGAAGACGAAGGAGCAGTCGGTGCCATCGCTGTAATTGGCGAATCCGCTTGACGAAAAGCGCAGCACAAAACAGCTAATAACTCGGTGGATGCTGAAGGTCGACGGAAACATGATCACTGAAGATAGCACGCAGCAGCAAACGATCAACCGCAGACATGACAGCAGAGCTGACAAAACAACACATGAACTGACACAGTGAGATTTGCCTTGGCTAAGCCGCTAAACTACGGCTGGCAACGGATTTACACGTGCGGTTTCGAGGTTTCGGCAGCCGCGGCGTGGTGCGGCGATTGGCGGCGCGAGGATATGAAAATGACAAAAATGGCGGCGGCGTTGGTGACCTTGGGTCGGCAGTTAACAGTAAAAAGTCTGAGAAATTGAATGCCGAAGGCTATAAGCGTCCAGAATTTCAGAATTTTTAATACATTGACCCTATGGGGAACGTGACGGTGCCACGGATGAGTCCGGGAAATCGGGCATGTCCGGAATTTTGGGCGTCCGGAATATCGGATGGCAACTGTTTTGCAGCGTCACTTTAAAGCTAAGAAAAACACCATACAGTGGACTCCTCTTAAACGGAGCTCGAAGGGGCAAGAAAATTTGTTCCATTTATGAGAAGTTTCATTTAAGCACAGCCCACAAAATGAATAACATATGACTTTATTTCAAAAGCACCAACTGCATGTGGCTGGCTGAACAAAAACATTTTGAAGTATGCAATACTACTATAGTGTATTAAAAAGAAAAATGTTTCTAATATTGCTGACTCGGAAAAATGTAGGTTATAAAGATTGCTTGGCCTCGTCCAAGCACTTTCTCACATAGTAGGAGTGCATTGCTGAAAGGCTGCGCAGGAAATTTGTGCCACCATCGTGTTCAACGTAGCGCTGCAACAGGATGACAGCATCTCTTGCTGCACTGTCAGCCACTGAAATGGGCTGGGGATCACACACCATCTCATTACCACTTGAGCATGGGCCCTCATCTTGAACTTCTGCTATAGGTTCCTCAAGGCTGTCCTCAAGTTGACGACGAGACGTCGATTGCAGTTCGGCGTGTGCGGACATGTGCAATCGCTGGATTGGCATCTGTTTCATGGTTGCTAGACTTCCGTGGTCACTACTGCCGTTCATGGATTTTGCCAACTTTAGTTTCATTTAACCGATGTAAGCTAAAGAAAATGATGCGAATACTTGAAGCTTTTTATGATTAAATATATAAGAGACCAACCAAATGTACCTGCATAGTTCCATTTATGCAGCTTTTCCGTTTAACCAAGTTTCGTTTAATGGGAGTCCACTGTAATTATTCTAATGCAACGCAACCATAATTGTAACGCAGGGGCTGATCTCCTGCCATGAGAAAATTAAAATAAAAACTTTGAATGTAACGTGAAATGAAGTGGCAAAGAAATAGTACTCTTATTCAAGAAATAAAACTTCGGAAAACTCTTTTTAGTCTTTGTCGTCGTCAAAGGAGCGTGAGGAAACCAAGCTTCCCCAGTCACTCTGAACTTCTCGGATTAGTGTAGTTACTCGCATAATGAACCCACCTTTTTTTTTCCCCAAGAAAGTTGATGCCAATTTGAAAGGAGGGCTCGTAAAGCAGGAGAAAAAACTCACAGCAGTTATGACGGCAAAAATTTCGCATGAGGGTATTAAGGAACTCGCTGTCCAACCACTACTGGCCTTCCATTCAGTGGCAGGACTACGAAGCCTCTGTTAAAAAACTTCACTCTGTACAAGGGGAAACTGTCCTTAATCTGGGCCACGTAATACACGACGAATTTTTTTCGTAGCCCGAAGCTCTTTTTTGTTTTCTCCCGTAACAAATGTGCACGGATCGACGCTGAAGTGTTGGCCAGCCGCTCGGTTCTCATGCTCCAGTGCATGCTCTACCTACCGAAAGTTGAAAACCGGCCGTATAGATAACCTACCGACCAATCATGCCTTCCACAGCAGGAGTCTGACAAAGTTCACTATGACAAACCCAACAACAAGAATGCCTGTTGGGGGTGCACGTCCTGCCATCTGCACAGCAGGCGCCGCCGCGCTGTACCAGAGAATACCTATTGCGCTTTGTCTTTACGCCGCTGTGCTTGCGTGGCGCTATAAGCAAAGGTTTCTTCTGCGTTCAACAGATGGCACTCTGCCACAAAAAACACGACCTTTAAATTTTCACCGATGTCCTCTGCGCTCGCGCTGCTCGAAACTGTGTTGCACGGTTGTTAAACTATGTTATGACTTTATTGCATCATTATTTTGTTGTACTATAATGGCGTGATTTAACATTGTTTCGAAAGTCAGCAGCACTGGCTTTCTCGCCGAAATAAAATGAACAGATACATTAAAAAGTTTTTTTTTTCAAGAATCAGTGTTGAGGGTGGGTTCATTACGAGAGTAGTAAATATGTAAATCATCTTCTAAGCAGTTGAGGTCGTTAGAAAGTTCCCACATGTTTTCCACCAGAAAATAATGTAGCATGGCAGTAACTCGCAACTATCCGCCAAGCACAAAGCATCACGATCAGGTATGTGTGTTTCCGTTCGACGTAGTAGTAACTTTGATTCAGACCTCCGACATACAAACACTGCCAACAGTTGCATGTCGAGTTACAGTGGAGTATCATCTGCGTTGCCAATGTGATTCAGTGCATGTTAGTTCAGTGGCCAAGGGTTGGCACCGAGCCCTCGGAGACTGCACAATTTTGGTAGTGCACGTTGTCAAGGGTCAATTTCACTGTTTTAAAATGTAACATGAGGGTCCATTGTAACAAAAATCCTTAAAAAAATATTCACTGCAATTGAGCAAGCACTGTAACCATGTAAAACGTATAACTAATTAGAGAAAAGATCACTCAAAAATATTTTTGACGCCATTTTAAAACTGCTGCTCATTCCATATCAGAACTTATACTGGGTAGTTATGCTGCAGGGGTTAACTACAGGATGCTTTCCTAAACTTTCTCTCTCTCTCCCCTCTTTCTTTTTTTTTTTTAAGAATTATCAGGTCATAGCAGCACTCACCTTCTGTGGCGAGGTATCGCGCCAATGTGAGCGTCCAGAATTTGTACTCGCTGGATGATCGCAGAGCTAAGGACGCCGCAATCTGACCATCTAGGAAGCTGAGCGTGCCAGCCTGTTGTAGTGAGGGGCCAGTGTGAAACACCGACTTGGCTCGCTGGGGAACTCTGCAGGCAATAGAATGCACAAGAGACAACTGCAAATCACCAAACTAGACTATCATTACAATTCAGGCAGTTCGGAACTCCAGTTTAGTGTTGTATAATGTGTGGAACACGAGCCGTACACTACTCCGCAAGCACATTTTGAGCAGCCAGCTTCAGACTCTTACAATGTGCCGACGCTGCGACAGAAGACATGGACACACAATGAGAAAAAATAAAACAATTTGCCTGCTCTCAGAATGCTCGACATGAACAGACGGCAACGACAGGGTCAGTGAGAAGCAAAGGGGGTGTGGTCACGCAGGATCACTGGTACAGACAAGAGCGTACTAGCACTGAATCCAAACGGACTTTATTTGTACAGACAAAACTAGCACTGAACTAGCACTGAATTAATTGTACAGACAAGAGGAGACTAGCACTGACTCTAATTGGCTGCAAGCCGCAGCTTGAGGTCAAGTGCTACTTCACTCTTGCCTTTTCTTTTGTCCACTACAGCTTCAAGTTATCACTGTTGACTGATGAACCTCATGCGCTGCATACCTGAACATGTTGTGCTGGAGCGATCCCAAGGGCAGCGTCGAACTCTTCACGCCATCTGGTGCTGCAGGCATGGACGTGTGGTGGTCTGAACACTGCGCAACAGCGTCCTCGCTTCCCGTAAGCAGGAGCCACGAGCCAAGCTCCTTGCTAAAGAGGTACGATTTGCCCGTCGTGAGCGTGAGCAGCGGCAGGCCCTCATCCGTGATGCTGGAAGCGCGGAGCGTGGCTCCCGACGTGTCACGGAACAAGAGGGCCACTGATTCATCACGCACTGTGCAGACGCGCTTGCTCAGGTCCCAAACGTGCACCGAGCCATGCGTTGTAAGGACAAGCAGGCAGCTGCCCTTGCACAGCATGTGGGCGACGGGCCACGACAGCAGCAGTGGGGGCATGAGCTTGGCACCCGTCACGCATGACAGGGCCGTCAAAGTCCGGTCTTCACACACCACACACACCACGTGACTGTACCGGTGAAGCAGAAAGACATGCGTCAACAATGGAGTCGAAAAATTAAGAAAAACTGTGCAAGCACCACAATATCTCTCCTAGAGGCAGCAACCGTAAGTGAACGGATCGGAACTATGAACATCATGAATCACAAAAAACTTAAAGCCATTTTCATGCTTTCAAAGCTGTTGAAACAGCAACGCATTCACAAGCCAACTCTAGCTGCCGCTTGAGATAAGAGGCATAAACAAGTCTCGTTCTCTTAAAAAAGAAAGAGTAGCGCAAGTAAGCCAAAGCTCTTATACGAAACCTCATCACCGCATCTCCAACGTGCCCCTTCTTATCGAGCACAACATGGCCTCACATCGGTTGCTGCCTGCTGACGAAATGCCACCTAGAAACATCGCTTCGTTTACAACCGAGGCAGCAAGACACTGTGGGTGTATCTGGGAACCAGAGCATGGGAACAGTCAACACTTATCTGCCACCAGGCCATCCCCTATAATGACTCTAGAGCTAAAACTAGCGCATCAACAAACCTTAATGAACTCTTGGTTACCGGGAGTTTCAATTGTATAATCTGAGTAAGTCTACAATACCAGGTGCTGCGAATGAGCACTGATGAGAGGCATGGTGTGCTTTCAGTACAACTTTGCTATCTTTCTTCCGAAAGCGTGCCCACTCACCTGCTAGCGGCGAGGGCCACTCCTCGACCTGAAACCAGGTGTTCCCAGAAGACAGTCTCCTCCTCACTGCATCGCACCTTGCTGACTGTCCGTGATCCTGGTACTGGAATGTCTGTCTGCAGCTGAATGCTCCTCAGTACCTTAGTGTCTTCGAGGTATGCCACCTAAAAGATGAAATTTAGTTATCAAGTTTTACCTGCCAAATGGTATTGCAATTAGACATCAAACAAGCCAACATTCAACCATTTAAGCTGGTGGTTGATAAGTCTCGCCATACTGCAGAACTCTCCACGGGCAACAGGCATCCCAGAAAAGAGGCTTATGAACTAAGTAGCACTGACAAAAATTTGCACTGTTCGATAAATTGCACCACAGAACAATGACAGAAGAATGCATGATCCAAGAAAACGTAATGGCCGACAAATATACTAGTAACTTTAAAGAGGCCCCGTAAATCTTTTTAAGCATGGTAAGAAAATGCTGCCGATTGGTAGCCAAGGCTCCCAAAAACATGTGAGCCAAATATTGTAGCGCAAAATGCGGAATAGAATTTACAGTGAGTTCTCAAAGCCAGCAAAAAATTGCTCTCTTCTCTCAACGAATGACGCAACCGACTGAAAAATCAGTGTGTCACAGGTCGAGTACAGTGAAACCCCGTTAGTATGTACCACTTTAAGCATACTAATGGTTAAACCGTAGTTGCAACCAATCCGTGACTGATTCTCAAAAAGACAAATGCATTCGTGGAGTGCTTAATTTAATTAGGCTGTAGTGATTTGCCCTATGCCTACCGGTTAATACGTACCAACTGCGTACGACGACAGAATTTCAAGCCACAAAAGTTTACGATGCCGCTGAACTTGCAGGCGCCACAATGTGCTGTGAACTGTTTTCCGTCATGCTGACAAGTGCGGAGATCAGCCGATCAGTTTCGACTTCCGCATGATTGCAGCTATGACTTTGTGAGTAATCATTGCGGAAAAAAAAAACGAAGGCGAGGTGGCGACCACCGACAAACGTGCCCAATGACTTATTGTCGTGAAAAGCCTTATCACAGTAAGCATCCGCAGCTATCTTCTCGAGCATGCGTGTGGCGTAGGGTCACTTTAAGCCTACTGCATGCTTTTAGTAGGCAACTACCTGAACGCGTTGGGCCGCCGATTGCTGCCGCTTCTTTGTGCATGACCGTGTTCAAGCCCGCACCGCTTTACAGAAACACAAGCAGCTCACTATTGCAAAGTTTAGCATTGCAGGTCGCAGGCACTGAGAAGCCTTGCTGTACGTATTATGCCAATACACGCACCTTACAGCAAGCGTAGCGCTGTTGCAACTTTGCAGCACGCTTTCATTTACTACCAACCCAAACACGCCTCCGTCTGCTGCCAGGACTGCTAGAACACCGTGGAGAGCGCATTGCTTGTGGAAAGTTCATCGTCCCCGTGTTAACCCAGCAGGCTACTCGAAGCATTTGTGCATGATTTGAAGTGCAGTGGGCGAAGTGCAGTGGGCGAAGTGCAGTGGGCATGATCTGAAGAGCAGTGGTTCTCAGCATGGATGTGTCGGGGACCCCTTGTGGACTGGTGGAAGTGATGGGCAAACCCTTGCAGCAGAGGGGAGGGGGGGGGGGGGGCACGTAGGTAAGTTAAAACACAACTGGAGTGTGAAACAGGTGCCTTTTATTGCCACCCAAAACAAACGTGCCACATCACTTCATTCTGGACAGTTCATCCATACATGGTGCAGTCACACTTAAAGAAAAATGCAAGTGAGGGTTTCGCGAATCATGGAAATGGCTTCGCGGACCCCCAGTTGAGAACCACTGCTCTACAGCAAGCCGATCGGCAGTCACGGCGTGTGCCGAATAAACGAAGAGCTACACGCAACAAACCTTGCAATAATTGATTTGGATCTTTGTAAACATACCGCATTCCTTAAAAAAAAAAAAAAAATCACAGCGTCAGCTGTCTCTTAGAAACAGAGGCAGAAAAACAAAACTATCATGGACAGCCGATTGTGTCCGTTTTTTTTCGCTGTATCAAGCCGCTTATCCCGGACCCCATAGTAATTTCAAAATGCTCCTTGGCGTCGCTACCCCGTGCTATCGGGCGGTTGTCCGAGAGTCAGAACTTTTTGGGCACTTTGGCAAAAAGAAAGAAATGACTTTGCGGTGGGCACTTTAGGCAATATTTCCTGTGGCCCTAAATTCATTCCTTTGTTGGCGGCAATGGTGCGTGCCAGGAGATGCAAATTTGTAGCTGGTGGTTAATACGTAGTACATTTAGTGCGTAGTTATGCCACCGTCTCCGGCAGGTACATATTAACGGGGTTTGGCTCTATCAGCCATTGGCTGATTTGAGCATGGCGCACTCTGTTGCTACCAAGGCTGCCGAGAGAGACAGTGACTTGTCCCCATGCGTGCGAGTACAATCACACTGAAAAGCTGTGCATTTAAAGAGAAAGAGAGAGAAAGCGCTCAAGGTCACGAGGCGCGCGATGTATTTTCTTTCAATGTGCCATCCCTCCGTGCTTAGCTTCCAGCACTTTCATTGGGACAAGAGAAGAGGGAAAGCAATTGCCGGATGCAACAAATCTCTGTAACTTCACTCGTACTGGACGAATTCTGACAATTTGTGGCAATCAGCTCCTGTAGTGAATCCATACTATGGCTATATTTGAAATAGTGTTTAAGGGCCGCTTTGACAATTCCCAGCTCTTAGTAGACCAAAGTTGACGTTCTTTTCACCCCTGTTTTTTTATTTTGCATGGAAGCATCAGTGCACAAAGCGCCGGTTGGAACACCCAATCAAGTGTTCACCATATCACCCACCTTCACCGTGGCTGGCATGCTTTGCTTTAGCGCTGGAAACATGGCTTGTTGCCGGTGGGGAACTGGTGCAGACTGGTGGGCATTGGTAGCCGTGTGGCCAGAGGTTTCTTTCTGTGCCTGCATAAAACATGATGGGGTTCCACGGTAAGAAAAAAAAAGACTAGGAGATCACAGAAAGGAACTCTACCAAAATTGTGCGAGTCCGTAGCTAAATCGATTAACAAAGAAATGGGGTTAGTTTTAACAATAAATACAAAGAGAGATAGCAGGGTAGGTTGATGGTACAGGCCAGTGCGCCTACCTACTGTGATCACTCAGTAAGTGCACTGTAGCACAGAGTGCAGGGGAAGGTAGATTGCATGTACATAATTGAACAAAGGCAGGGGCTGCTCAGGATGAGTGACGATCATAGCAACTAAGCACATATGCAGCTGTAACTTGCTATTTTGTAGGTAATCTTCTATGGGAGCAAAATGCTTCGGGTGTACTGTCTTCTGATGCGCCTACTATTGGGCCATTGCAAAGTTTTTGACCCTCACAACTTGAAGCAAGAAGCAATGCCATGAGATATTTTCCCCAATGCGGTCTGAAGCACCAATAAGTCTGGTTAAAGACCACTACTATATGGTTTTTAGAGCTTCAAGTTGTACAAGTATTTCCTATCTAAACAAGCACAGCATTAGCAACCATGTACGCAGTGCTAGTTGTAATACTCAGCGAGCTCAGAAATCCTCTGGTGGCTTTTTAAAGGGCCCGTAAACAGGCTCAGACTTTCTTTTTAAAACTTCCAAACAAGCTCACCGATTTCTGCAGAAAGTCGAGGCAGTCACATCTTACGAATATGACAGCACTCCTTTTCGAAAGTAAATCACATGCACCTTTCCAGCGCTTGTCTAGTCCTTCTGCTTCACAAAGTAATATAATGTTGCCCTTGGGCAACTCTACTTCATTGGTCGCTCCTCTGCAGTTCATAATGACGACTTCATTTTTTGGCGATTCGGTTTTGGCCGTGTATTAACCATGCTTCTTCACCGAACCGCTGATGTGACCCTAGCACCACTCTGACACGAGCGACGAGTGGGGTAAGCCTTACTCCATCATTTTATGCATGCCAATGACGCAATCGCCGATAATGTGTCACGTTGCTGATGAGCGCATAGTCCCGACAAGGGGCTATACCTTCTCTTCACTGCCAACGATGGCAGGAAGGCCAAGAAGAAAACTGAAATCAGTTGAAACGGCCTCTTCTATACGCTCCGACTTCCCTATTACAGTCCTAATGTACAAAATTTTTACGCAGTGTGTTCACATCATAGAAGTGCACAGTTGTTATTCTACCACCAATTTTGGACTACAGGGTTGTTGGCCATTTAAAATTATTGCATTGTTCAAAACCAGCATTTACCTGCTGCTGTTGTTGCTGCTGCTGCTGCTGTTGCTGCTGAAACTGTAGTGTCCGGTCTAACGGAGGTCGACCGCGCTTTTTCTCAGGTGGCCTTGCCACGACTGGGGTCGTCTCTGTGGCTTTCCGCTTTCCCGTCGGCATCAGCGATTCACTAGCTGGCTTGACTGCTGGCTTCTCAGACCTTAGAAGAAAACTACCACTTAGCGAGCAACAATAGAGCCCTTACAGGCTTTAGCATTTCAGAAGTAGCATTAAAGACTAGCTGTTACAAAAATATGCAGTGCTTCCGGCATGCTCTGAATCAAGCAGTCAGAGGCACAGACTCAGTCATAGAAAGGCTAAAGAACTTATAACACCCAGAATTGTTTCTACTGACCTCATAAGTATGTCCTAGCAAAGCTACAAGTTTGAGTTGAGGCAATATGACTGGCCTTCGTACAAACTAGCAAAGTATGGCATATCCTGAATCCCACTCACTGGTCAGAAGGTGCCGCTGACACAGCCGGGGGAGCGGAGTTTGGCAGAGCATTCACCGCTGTGGTGGCAGGTGTATCTTTCTCTGCAACTTGACCTTGTGTTGCAGGTGTTGCTGCCTGGTCTTCCTAGAAAGACAGAAATATCCAGGAGCATGCAGTTGGCAGAGTGATAAAGAACTTGTATTGCACTTCTAAGAGCCAAATCCTCTTGAACATTGTAAGGCATGATGTCTACTCCAGTACCAGGCTGTCTTGCCTCGCAAGCATGCGTCAGCTTGGCGCTTTTTGCCATCTACGCCAAGTGTAACAAACCAGTAACCTTTCTCACTCAAAGCAACTGTCATCGGTTATAAATTTCTTGAAAACATTTCACTTTACAACTCTGACACCCACTCAAAACTTTCACCTTTAATGCTTCTCACTCAAAGCAACTGTCATCGGTTATAAGTTTCTTGAAAACATTTCACTTTACAACTCTGACACCCACTCAACTTTAACCTTTAATGCACTACTTTACAAACACTTAAAATAAGAGTTGTTGTGGAGTGTAGGTTGATTGCAACAGTCACTTTAGAATGAGGATTATGTAAGCCTTCACTCAGTGAAGCTGAGATACAGCTTCAATGTTGGTACTTAAAACCACGAAACCTAGGCACACCAAAAGCTTTTAGACTCAGAAACGTCTATTAGAAAGGCATTTGGTTCCTTGTGCGAAAGTAGACATTCAAACTCCTTTACGAGCATAAAGGGGCTAACCTGATGTGCACCTACTTACCAATGCAAAACTGAAGGGAAAGAAATGGTGCCTAAATTGCTAGTAATTTTGGCACTGACAAAAACAACATTATCTGTAGCAATAGCAAACAATTCACCAGACAGCCTATATTTGTATCGTTTTGACAGTTTTGCAGGCACTGCAATGTTAAAAATAAATATTTTGGTGCCCCTTTTTCATTTACTGCCTCAGTTTCGTTCATTTAATAATTTGTTTGAAGGGGTTGTGCAACACTTTTTCAAGTAGCCATAGCACCGATTCACTGAAGAAACTTGTATGTCTCACGAATTTAACGTCACAAAATTTTTTTAGAATCCGTCAAGTACGAACGCAGTTGCAGTCTGTTAAGTCTGTTGCCTCGTTTGTCGAGAGAAGAGAAAGGGATTGTTAGCTGACTTGGGAGAATTTATTGAAAATTCCAGGCCACGTGCTGCGCTATAATATTTGGCTCGTGTGTTGTGTTCTCAGAAGCCTCAACCACTGCTCAGCAGCATTTTCTCACTACGCTAAAAAAGTGTTGCAGCGCCTCTTCAAGAACAATTTGAATGGTACAATAATGCATGTGATGACGGTATATTTTATTGTGGGTATAGTCTTTGTAGTCAATGCATGGATAATGCATGTGATGATGGTAGCTTTTATTGTGGGTGTAGTTTTTGTAGTCACTGCATGGTTTGAACGGCAAATAGCCGACACCTATGACCACATCTGATTTATTCTTATAACATGATTAAATAATTTTTCACGAATACCATTGCGCTAATTTATCGCACTTGCAAATGAAATATCGGTATATTGATCTCGCAGCGAAAATATTAGAAAAGAAGTGTGTTTTATACCACGGGGAAATACTGCATGCCTCTTTGCCTGCCAGAGAATCACTTTTGTCATGCGAAAACCTCCACGTGCATTGATGCAAGAGCCACTCTCTCGAAGGCATGAAACATAGCGAAGCACAAGTGCTGCCACCTGTACAAACCTTGGCAGCCGGAGCCTTGTCCGAGGACTTGTCGCAGAGATCGGTTGCAGGAACGCTGGAGGACTCGTCTCGCTTCTCTATGACGATCCTGCTTTTGCTCTCAGTGGACGAGCTGAAGTTGGGCAATGCTTGACTGTTGAACGGCACGGGAACATCTCTGCAACGGAAACAACCATGCGCTTCATTCCCAATGGCTAACGCATGACAGAACAAGCACAGAACAGAAAACCGCTCCCTATCTTCTGTGCTGTGCTTGCTTTGCCACGAATCACCAACTCAGCCAAAGCTCTGGCCCTCGTTATTTAAACGAAAGCTTCTCAAAGGGGGCGTTACTATGCTGAGTCACTCTGAGTTGCGCAATCTGGGCCCATCCCATGCTGGGCAACTTACTGAAGTCACACTTGGTGACGAATCCAGCTCAATGTGATTTCAATTCTAAACACATTGCTTTTCCTCCTGCTGACAATTAGACGAGACAGCAAACACTGCATGTAGTGTCCACTACAGTACCAGGTTTGTCACTGTAGATGCAACGCGTAGATACGGAAGTTCTGGTGTGCCATTCTATAGTCATATCACGCTAGCCATCAATAATGGCTAGTTTGATGCAGTACTACAGTACAGAAATTAACTTGCTGGTTACTTCACGGTGCCAGTGAAATCCCATTAACAGATACAGGAACAAAGCCTAGCTATGCACTAAACAATAGTACAGTCAAAACCCGTGATAATAAAATCCCGACGAAACGTAATTCTCACCGCAACGAAATATTTTCGGAGTACCGGCAAACGAACGCCCATAGGAGTCAATGCATTTCGCAACTCACAACTACGGAAAATATTTATACCGCAGTCCCTCATTAACGAAACTTTTTGAAACATGAGTGCACAAATAATCCACTCTCGTAACATTTACATTCGAAAACTGCTGAAATGCATTCATGCTACACTTAAATTGTGCAAAACTATCGCTAAACGCACTTGAGAAGCAGCCGCCATCATTGTTTACAAGAAAAAAAAAACTTAAAGCTCGCAAAAATGATGATGATGATGGCTTGCTGAAACACCTGATGATGATGATGGCTTGCTGACGGGCTCGTTATCACGGACTACGTACATAGCCGAAACCACAATCCTCATGGAGTGTCGTTCGCTGACTTGGCTCTGTGCTTGGCTTTGTCGGCTTTGCGCACACATGGTCGCGTGTGTGGAGCCATTTGTGGAGAGTTTGCTTGGTCGCTTGGTGCAACGTAAACCGTGTGTTGCGATTGCTTAATCCGATTTCGCTGCCTGTGAAGATGAAGCCCCCAACGAAAAAGCGGAAGTTCATCACGCTGCAATATAAGGCTGCAATCATAAGCGAGGTGGAAAAGGGCAGAAAAAAAAAATGGACATCCCCGAAGAATTCGGCGTTGCTTGCAGCTCAATGTCCACGATTCTCAAGAACAAGGCCTCCATTCTTTGTGCACTTGAAAACGACACGAGTGCAAGAAACAAAACCGTGACGGCTGCAGCATTCCCGGACGTGGACAAAATGGTGTTTGCGTGGTTTTGTGAACAGCGTGCCAACAAGGTGCCTTTATCTGGCAGGATCCTGCAACAGAAGGCGCTGGACTTCGCTTGTATGCTCAGCTACGACAACTGTAAGGCAAGTCCCAGCTGGCTGAGCCACTTCAAAGCTCGCCACGACTTGTGGCCAAAGTCATCTCCGGGGAGGCAGCAGCCGTCGACTCGGTGACAACGTCGTTGTGGCTGCTGAGCAACAAAGAGCTGCTCGGTCAGTACAAGCCCTCGGACATATATAATGCGGATGAAACGGCATTGTTTTATGAAATGCTGCCATCCAAGACCTTGGACTTTAAATAAACGCCAGAAGTGCCATGGTGGCAAGCACAGCAAACGGGGCGTGACGATTTTATTTTGCCCCAACATGAATGGCACAGATAAACAGCCCCTGTTCGTTATTGGCAGGAGCAAGAAGCCCGGCTGTTTCAAGGGGAATCGCAGGCTGCCAGTAAGCTACACCGTGAACTTGAAGTCGTGGATGACGCGGGATATTTTTAGCAGCTGGCTCCAGTCCTTCGATGCCCACATGCGGAAGGCAAACAGGTCGGCCTGCCTTCTTCTCGACAACTGTAGCGCCCATCACGTCGACGTGCAGCTCAGAAATGTGCACCTGGTGTTTTTTCCACCAAACTACACTTCGGTGCTGCAGCCTTTCGATCAGGGAGTTATTCGCAGCATGACGTGCGCTTACAGAGAGAGGCTGATTCAGCGTTTGCTGCCCAATATACATGTGAAGCGCCCCACTGACGTGGACTTGTTCGTGGCGCTAGAGATGATCGCCGCCGCATGAATAGCGACGAGTCCAGCCATGATAACGAATTGCTTCACACACGCCGGCCTTGTCACTCTGCAGGCATCATGCACTGATCCAGCGGAACCAGAAGAAGGTTCGCCTGTAGGTGCACTTGATGACTGTACTGGTAACAGCGCAGTGCCGCCGTCACTGACCAGTGCATGGGGCGAACTTTGTGCCGTGGCAAACGAGATTCCCGATGGCCTCAGCGTCCATGAGTTCGTTTGCGCAGACGAAGGCGGCGGCGTGCACAAAGAAGTGACTGGTGAAGCCATAGTCAGTAGCGTGTGCGAGGCGGCCAATCCCAATGTGCAACGACCAGAGCAGCCAGAGAAAACAACAAGTTCGAGGAAGTGCTGAATGCCTTCGACACAATTCCCACGTTTTTCGGCAAGCACGACGACGACGTGACGATGGACTATTTCTTACAGTGTGAGTCGAGAGGCATGAAATTGCTGCATGGTAAGGCCCACCAAAGTAAACTAGCTGACTTTTGGAAATAAAATGTTTTTTTTTTTAATTTCTATGTCTTTTCTGCCGCATTCTCGCGCCAACGAAATTCTCGTAAGACCGAAGTTTTATGCTTTCCCCGCCCATTTCGTTATTGCGGGTATCAACTGTACCAGAGTATACAGAGCACAACTTTGCATCTCCTAGCATGCGCTGATGCTGCCAAGAAAGAACTGCAATGCCAGATCAACTGTTTCCTAAAAGCACCATTACAGAGCTTTCATTTCCTTTTTGTTAAAGTGCCAATTCCAACTCTCTCGCAAGACCACTCTCCAACTGCACATGGTGGCAATGCAAAGGAGGGATTCGAAACGAGTATCAGGTGGTACGGGAACACACAGCGACATGCATTGCACCAGAGCAAACACATTTATTGGCTTTCTGCGATACACGGATGCACGTCTGTACCACAATCTGCTATTGCACGATAGCCGACATACCACTGCGATGCACCAAATTGCTGTGTGGAGCCTATCGTACCTGTTTAGTTTCATGCAAACTATCACTTCTTGGCTCACACTGCCACTTTCAGGCCACTAGCGGTGTCAATTCACCACAACTGTGCTTTAACCGTTAGTATGTTTGAAGCAGATACATATTAAGGTTTTACTCTAGAATGATCGGACAATACCATACCAATCTTTTTGACAAAGTAGTGAATACTTTTAGATGCACACATCCACAATTTTTCTCCTACCGAATGGAATGCCCTTCAGACGCCATAACTTCATCTGACAACATTTGGCAAAACTGTAACACTCTGAAATTGTCAGCATTAAATATTCGTAAGTAAGATGTGGTAGCATGCTTGCTAGGGAAAAGCATGCGCACAGAGGTGTAGCACGGTAATCTATACATCGAATGCTGCTGTGCATAGGAGTCTGATACTCGTTTTATACGGCTCTATACTTTTTAACAGGATTTCCAAGAAGGCAAGTTAAGTGCTATACAAACGTATAAACTGTATAAAGATACGGGTAAGTTTCATATATCTAGGATAAACTGAAGAACAAGCCTATGAGCAGACTTCCTTAGTATGAAGTGCACTGTGAATAAATGAAACTTTCTTACACAAAGTCGCTGCATAATTGAAACAACTGCCTCTAATATCATTGGTTTCACACTTCAATTCTTCACCGCAGTCTATCTCGCAGTAAATAAAAATCCTGTTAAACAAAACCCATTTTCCTGGTGCCTTCAGGTTTTGATTGACAGAAGTCCAATGAAAAATTCATTTTAAAGACTGCTGCTTTTTACATAGTTGATGGGTGTTTTTTTTTTTTTTTCAGTGCTGACTCATACCATTTTTATGGTTACAAGGCTGCTTAGAATGGAGAAATGCCAGTTAATGAGCACAGAAGTGAAGAAGACCTTTTTTTTGATGTCTATATGTGAGCAATTACAATTGAAGCATTTTGATTCGCTAATGGGTCTCATCTTTATTTTTTGTTCTTTGATTCTTGCTTGTTCTTACATTCTGCCAACTTCATTGCAGCAAGGCTCTGCATTGTAAATGTCACACAACAAATACTATCTACGAGAAACTGCAAGCAAGCACAGAGGCCTTGCCAGTCTCAGTTGCTTCTTCATGCCTCAAAGGCACAGATCAGTACTCACCCGACTTCAGGATCAGGAGGAATGAAGAGCGGTGTAATCCGGCGACGCCCGTCGGGCATTCTCGTTTCTATTTGCTTGTCAGTGGGGCCCTGTATCAAGAGCAAGGTGGCGGGAAGGAATTATTGGTTAAACATTCCTTGCTCATCCACAAGGTAATAAATGTTACTACCTGCAACATATGAACGCCGAGGTGTGAAGCGCAGTTTTACATCGAATACAGTCACTAAAGACAAAGAATCCGTAGTTAACAGAGAACAAAAGGTGAAAGGTGGTGCCGAGTTGAAATGTACGCCTTCACAGACGAAAGTGGCTTTCAGACACTACCCGTTCCCGTCAGTTCACTGATTGCAGCGGTCAACTATCAGTAGGACAACACACAGCATTAATTAAGAAAGAAAAGGCTGTATTTCCTGCTGCTTTTGCAACTGGAGCTTTGCAGGAAATACGAATGCAATGACAGAAAGACGCGTGCCCGATTAACAGTTGGACACTTGTCGAACACCTATAAATCACACGCTCCTTACCTTCTACACCAGCGCCCGACTTCCCCGTGTGGATATTTATCTCTGGTTTAAACATGATTGCTGATTGATTGTGGGGTTTAACGTCCCAAAACCACCATATGATTATGAGAGACGCCGTAGTGGAGGGCTCCGGAAATTTCGACCACCTGGGGTTCTTTACCGTGCACCCAAATCTGAGTACACGGGCCTACAACATTTCCGCCTAAAAAACATGATTTGCTAAAGCAATGAGAGGTAAGACCCTCTTTTATCGATGCTTTCTTGCTCCACGGACAGACCTTCACCATTGTTAACGATTGGACAAGTGAGCGTCGGTCCTAGTACTTCATACGGGCAATTGCACCTCGGAAGCAAGCCATGAAGCGTCTGTCACCACCAAAAACGTGCACATATTACATCATGCGTTATACAAAACTTAACTGGACGTATATGTTTTTGGGCAGTGCACAACAAGACAAAACATGAGAGAGGACACTGGACAAGCACTCTCATGTGTTTTTTTGTTGCAAGCTGCACAAGAATAGGTATGCTTCATCACGTCCGCATTTTGGTGTCGTTAACAGGACATTTCACAATAATTGTTCAAATGTCCCAAAACCATATGATTATGAGAGGCACTATAGAGGAGGGGTCAGATAATTTTGACCACCCGAGGTTCTTAAAATGAGCACCTAAATCTAAGTACACGTGCCTCAAGCATATTCACATCCATATAGGCAAAAGTATACGTTACAGAAAAGGAGACAGAATCACATGCTTATGCATAAACCCCCCAAAAAAACACACAAAACCACAAGCTAAAATAGACAGCTTCCCCCCCCCCCCCCCTCGAGAAACCCCGTAATAAATCAGCTGAAAGTCTGCGCTCGTCCACATCTCTTGCGCTTGTGTGAAATTTTTTGCACTTAGAACTTTAACAATGGATTACCAACTAGCCCAATCCCACACTTTACCTCAAACGGCACCTCTGCATTGCATCACCTTGATGTGTGACATAGGGCGGCTACTGTTGCTGTTGGTGTTGATGGGTCGCACCACCGAGTTTGCTGAACTCGTAGGCGCATTGCTCGTAGCTGTAGCTGGGCTTGCCGAAGGCGTGACACCATTGACTTCTTTGGTTAGGGTTGAAGCCACCGTCCTCTGCTGCTGCTGCGCTTTGGAGTATTGCTCCTGGGCCTTCAACACCTCGGGGTCTTCAACCAGGGTGGTGCCCGACTGCCGCTGCTGGCTCCCCGGACCCGATAAGCTTTTGCCATACAATTTCTGGTGCCACACGTTCTGTCAGGGCAGCAGCAGAGTTGGAGATACAAATATACAATGAAAAGTCTCAAAATAATAGAACCCTGTTTCTTGTTCCTACAAATCTATTAAATGACACTGTTACTGAAATAGATCAACTGTCCCCAACATCATTGCTTTTATTCTAGGAGTCTGCACCCCTGCTCCTCTCAGTAAACGGAACTCCTCTTAAACAGAACACATATGGGTGGTCCCTGCAGGTTTTCTTTAACGAGTCTACTTTATAAAGTCACTAAAGCCTGGCCCCAGCCAAGATCTTAGACACCTACATAGTCTAATAATCACAAAAATCTAGTATTTATCAAATGCGTCATCTGTATTCCTTAACACATCATCGAATCTAAGAAAAAATGACAACTGAATTTTAAAAAACTCACAGTTTCGGTACAAGGCCGAAGCAATGATTGTGATAGCAACACATCACACTGTTATACGAAGTAAGGCTAGGGCATTTAAGAACCATTTAGGAAATTTAGTGAACTTTGTGGAATATGCCTTGAGCTGCAGCGTTTCTAGCACGTGCAGCAGCACGTTCTTATGTCCGGGCAAGTATGCGAGCCGCCTTGTTTCAATACTACAGTCAAACTCCGCTACAACAAACGCCGCTTCAACGAAATTTTCGCTACAACGAAAAATTCATGATTCCCCGCCAGCAGTTCATAGAGTCAATGCATAAATATTGTCACCACAATGAACACTTTTTCTTTGATAGTCCCGCTTCAACTAAATTTTACGATGTCCAGGCTCAGACACTTATTTTTATGCAGTAAACCCAATCTTTAGCATTTCGATGAATTTTCAGAGCCTGAAAGTGCGTCAACGAAGTATAAAACACGCCTTGGCACCACCAGCAACCGCCGATATACCGCCGCTGTTCAGCAAGCACGGGGGCCGCCATTGCTCAATAGTGATGGCAATAAGACTGCCCTGCTTTTGCCACTGGCTTGGTTTGAGCCGCAGAAAACCCAAAGCTGAAGCTCAGTCGCTCAGTTCATGGTTTCCATCACGCAGCTGCTGGGTGCAACTGCAGCCCTTTCCGATTCCAATGCTTATTATTATGTTCGCGCTTGGCCAGTTTGGTAACTAATCAGAGCGGTTGTTTGTCCGCATTATCAACAAAATCAGCTACATAACCGCGAGTGATGGATGACAAGAATGGCATAGAATAATGCAAAAGTCGCCGCTCCACGATACCATGCCTTCACCTCGGCGTTGTCGGGTACTTTTGACGGCGGACAGCTGCTGGTGTGAACGTATTAATGCAGCTGTTTGGTTCGTTCATGAAGGCGGTTTTAGGCGTTGTTTCAGAGTGTTTTTTCAACGTGGCGTCGCTATGCATGGCTGACAATCATGTCGCAACGTTACTGGGAAAAAATAGGAAGCAGTGGACATTTTTTTAATTCTGAGAATAAACGTTCGTTTGTTTTGCTAGCTCAAATCAGTTATTTTTTTTTATTTCACTACAACGAAATTTTTTCCACCCCAAGTCAGTTTCGTTGTGGCGGTGTTCTACTGTACTAGCATTCTGTTGGAGCTGTTCCACAGGCGTTTGTACAACATGTGGTGGTACCACAAAGGCCAAACTACATACAGCGTTTTTGCCGGCGTTTGCCCGGCATTTCCTTCCTTGGCATTAGTCAACGTTGACAATGCCGGTGACGGTAGCGAAAAGTACAGTTCCAATGCACTTCATTAAACCTCCACCTCTGATTGTCCCAGACATCGCAGTGTGGGTGTCGATGCCGGAAGGAGATGGATAGTGGGAGAAGCTTGTTTACTTGCTTGTTCCTTTATATATGCCTTCCACCCACCACGGGGTATTTGGCCATAAAACCAGCAGTTAATGCATAAGTGCATAACTACAAGCGAGACATACGAGCTTTGTTCTAGAATGTTTCTCTGAAATCTATCGACAGTTAACCTGTTGTAAATGGTGTAAATATATACAGTTACCTGCTTATAGCGAGCCTCCATATACCGTAATTACTCGAATCTAACGCGCACCTTTTTTCCGGTTTAGCGAGTTCATAAATCGCATGCGCGTTAGAATCGAGTACGAACAAAAAAAATTACGGTCAATCTATTGCCATCGGCAAATAAAAAATGGCCGCCCCCTACGTGCGTCGGCATGGCGCGTCGGCCATTTCTGCCTATGTGTTTCCCATGTGCGGCACTTCGTACGTGTGCTGAGGAGTTCGTCAACTAGTAGTGCATTAGCATCGACGGCGTGGAAGGGCCGACTCCAAAAACTCGAGTGCACCACGATGCCGCTTTTAAAAGAAAAGTCATCGCGTGTGTAGAAACGGACGGAAATCGGGCCGCATCGCGGTCGTTCGGAGTTCCCGAAACGTGCGTGCGGGACCGGCGGAAACAAAAGCAGAAGATTGTCGACAGCAAAGCTTCACGCAAAGGCTTCAGTGGACCACAACAGGGTCGGTTTCCGCAAATTAAAGAGCTGCTCGGCGAGTATGTGCTTGAGCAGCGAGCGGCACAGCGGCCCGTGACGACAGAACTGCTCCAAGTGCAGGCTATGCAATTAGTCTTAGAAAAAGGTCTAATGCGGAGCCAGTTTAAAGCGAGCAGGTGCTGGCTAACTTTATGAAGAGGAAAGGCTTTTCCCTCCGAAGGGGAACATGCATATGCGAAAAGTTTTGCGGAGGAGTACGATGAAAAGCTTTACAGTTTTCAGAGGTTCGTCCTAAACTTGCGGTGCAACAACGGCTACCTGCTTGGGCAAATCGGGAATGCCGATCAGACGCCTCTTTACTTCGACATGCCTGGCACCACAACCGTCGAGAAGAAGGGGGTGAAGCAAGTTCGCGTGCTGACATCGGTCCACGGTAAAACTACAGTGACGGCAATGCTCTGTTACACGTCAGATGGGCACAAGCTTCGCCCGCACCTCATATTTAAATGGAAGACGCTCCCGAAAGGAGCCATTTTTTCTAGTGGTGTGATCATGCGGGCCAGCGAGAAAAATGGGTGCGAGTTGCAATCGATGTCTTACGTTTTTTTTTTTTCGCGGTGGAAATCGGGTGCGCGTTACAATCGAGGGCGCGGTAGAATCGAGTAAATACGGTAACTCCTGCATAATCGAAGTTTTTCTAATCCCCGCCATCGCTCCATAGGAGCACATGTATTTCTAACCTCTATGTAAGAAAGTAACTGCGGGAGACAACTTTGATATAACGAATTTTCTCCACGGACAATCTTGGAATTTTGCTCCGCATTTCGGCATTTTGGTACGAGCATGCATCCTCCGCCGCTGCCCCGCCGGGGGCGGGCACGCGGGCCGCGTCGGCGTGAGGTGGGCCTGCACCTTACGAGCCGGCGTCGCGCCTTTCTCGCCGCAGCGGTCGCGTACGCGAGTGTGCCCCCTCCCCACCCGAACCAAAATAATAAAAAAAACTACTTTTGGGCGTTGGCAGTGCCACGCTTTTAGTTAGCGTCGCATATGTGGGGCCGCGCTCTATATGGAGGGTGCTTTACGGAATAGTTTCCGCGGTAACCCTGTCTGTGTCGTTTGCTCTTCGTTTTCGACGCTGTGCGCGCGTGCATAGTTTCACTGCGCGCGCATGGTGTGCCCCCTGACGACGTTCAGCTTTGCTTTTTTTAAAGACGATAGTCTTTCTTGGGGACGTTCGACGGAAAAATTTTGGTCTGTCTGTCTGTATATTTGTCTGTTTGTCTACTCTTAACGGCACCGGCTACCTAAACGGCCGACCCCAACCACAGCACCCACAAATGTTGCTCAAGGTTTAGCGTTCATACTTGTGCAATTGTCAATTAATAAGCAATTATTGCACATGTCTGGGGCACCATAACAACACGTATATATTCTGCGTGTGGATCTTGTACTAGAAAAGGCATACATAAGTAATTTTAAGGACCGTAGCGCTTATCACACTGCGCTGACCATGCAACGCTTGCACGAAAAGGCGAATGTTTCCAACGCTTTGCTAAGACGAGACGGTGGTAGCACCTACCCGTCGCCATGCGTTCTACACTTTATTACCGCACCCGCCTCAGAGCCACGCGCTTCGTTGTCCGAGAAAACTGCCAGATGGCGCTCATGTCTCATGTGCGATAGAATTACTGTATATGCTACCTTTCAAAAGTCTTGCGGGAAAGCCACTCGCACCCACGTAGGAGCAATGCTCGCGCTTCAGAGTGCTACATTGTCCCTCAATATTGAGGTACTATAGTATTACCGTGGCTTTATTTTTTTTTTTCACTTTCTTTCTATTTTTTAATGTTATGAGTAAAACTCGGTTGCCCCATCACGCTTAGAAGCCTTGATATGATGCTTACGCTCTTGGTATGTAATAATAGAACAAAGGGCTTCGGCTCGTTGAACCATTAAGATGGTTGGTTTATACTAGCTTTTTATTTATGGCTGGTTACACTAGCTTTGTCTTCTTTTCCACTGCTTCTTTTTTTCAATTACAAATACGAAATTATTTTCGCACTTGTGATCGCGACTGAACCAGTTAGGGATGAAATTTTTTCATCGTGTTGGACTCATTCCTTAACTGTGTGAGAGAGACAGGTGTAGTTTTACCGCCTTCAACTGAATCGAGCTGGATAGAGATCGAGAGTATCCGTGTGACGCCCATGCGGCTCTTTATTACGCTTGTATTACAATCGCGGCTCACGGCAGTTAATTGATGTGAATCGTTGTTCAACAGCCCTGTCGCTCCCAACATTTCTTCGCATAAGGTTTGAAAGCGGCATTGAATTCACGTAATTCATGCGCTAGCTGCAACACCTCGCCGATTTGATTAGTATAGTTTAACTTATACTTCCTTTATTTGTAGTGTTATAGCAGTCAGACCAATTGTGACGTATGCAGTTGACACACGCTGACCAACTCTGCATGTATAACGTAATCACTGCATCTGAGGGCAATAAAAATTTAGCAAATTTGCAGTGCCATGGATAGATAAAAAGAAATCAAACATTTATTCCTTCCTCACTGA